CCAGTTACAAATACGTACTTTGGTAATCACAATCAAAGATGTGACGTCATATAAATGACGTCACATAGCCCAAGATGTGAGGTGATTGACTCCTGAGTCTGTTCTCAATGGTTGTGAACATCACAAGGAATGGCAATGCCTTGCTTTATCACCAACATCATATTTAGACAAATCTAGGAGGTATGTGACACCAGCATATATATAATGGCATTAAGCAAACAAAAGAAAACCCAAACAGACAAAAATGTCTGGTCTGTTGGATAAATTCCCCAGGCTCTTCCCAACAATTCACACCCCTCTCCCCACCGTTGATCTGCACTCAGCCATGAGAAGCCTCACGGGCCGCGTTGCTACGTGCAGGCTGCACTGTCTGCTGAGCAGGCCTTCCTCCTTTTCACTTAGAAAAGTCATAATCACCTTTCAGGTCGCAGCTGACTTTGTTTCTCTTGAAGATCTTTGCTGACCTGGAAAGGGCAGGTACTCCACTATCTCCTTTTATCCTGATAACCAGCCATTTCTGCCACTACGGAAGTATAATAAATGTTTATGACATGAAGAATGAGAACTAGGATCAAAGAGCATGCAGTTAGGTGCCTTTTTTCCCCAATATAATGTAACTACAACATTCTCCTTTTGTTTTTCTTTTAGGGTTGACTAATCAATGTGTAATCCCCCTCTGGAAATGCACTGATGGGTTGGCTCTTTGGTTTATAAGCAGAAAATCCAATGAGTATCGCTGGCTCAAGTATGTCTGGGTAACAGCCTCACATTCCCCTCACTGCCCCCCTCTGATTCTGAAGTAACAATGACATCAGAGGCCTGGCCAGAGCTGTCAGTACAGGGAAAGCAAGACACAAAGCTTTGTCTAATTGCTTCAGCCTTCTAAAGAGCTCTGCTTTCTAATTGAACTTGAGCAATCATTGGAAGTCTTTTTTAAGCTGCTCATTTCCAGGAGACAAAAAAGCTAGGCAATCAGGGCCTGTATTCTGTCCTAACTTCTCACATAACAGGAGCAGGCAGAATCATTTCATTTTCTCAATAAGCTTAGGGTTTGGGTATCTGTGAGAGACTACAGGGACATGCATATTGCATATCTCCTAACATCTATACTGTTGACTCCAATAAGAGTTTATGATTTCGGCTATCACCACCATAGTCACATACTTTTTGTCAGTAAATTTTTCAAAAAGATGAAAAAGACGGATATTTTTAGTTAGCAATATTTCAATTAACAGGGGCCGGTGAGATAGCTCAGCGGTCTAAAGTGCCTGCTTAGGCAAGCTTAGGCAAGCGTGCAGGGACCTCAGTTCAAGCCCCAGCACCACTGCCATGCCAGCCCCACCTCCAGAATAGGCTGAGCCAGCCACAACAACAACAACAACAACAGACACCCCTCTCCCAGATATCTCAATCAATCAATCAATCAATCATTCAATCAACCAATCAATGGAGTCTCCCTGTATGGCTTCTCTCTTCCTGAAAGCTTAAGAAAAACTTCACTGGCTTTAGATGAAGATTTTTTTGGTACTCCAAGGTTATTTGTAAATCATTGGATTGAACAACCAATGTGCAAGCCAATTCTGCCGTCCAGGCAGCAGCTCCAAGCAATGGGTGTGTGGCAGAGCTAAGTAGAAACAGGACTGCTGGCCTCGAGGTCCAAATAAAATCAAGTTTGCCAGGGGTGAGCCTGGTTCTGATTCCAGGGACACAGCTTCCTGTATGGCTGGACCAACATCACATTCCTGGACGCCATGCACAGAGTCTTGCAAGTAATCGGATATGTACAAAGTGTGACATGCTCTAGCTGGGCTGTTATACATCTAAAAATATGGGGTTCTGCCGGCTGTCAGACAGAAAGCTGTCACAGGGCTGAGCCACAGAAGTGATTCCCAGGTAGGAAAGAGCTGAAGACAATGCTCTGAAGGAGTGAGGACTCCTTACTCCAGTGAAGACTCAGAGTTCCTCTCCTACCCATGTAGCTGCTAACATCACCACACGTAGCATCACAAGTGTGGCACACGCAGGTGCCGTTACCAAGGAGACCAAGAAGCATGGCATCCAGGAATGTGATGCTGGTCCAACCATAAAGGAAGCTGAGTCCCTGGAACCAGAACCATTCTCACCCAGGCAAATTTGATTTTATTTGGACCTCGAGGCCAGCAGTCCTGTTTCTACTTAGCTCTGCCGCACACCCATTGCTTTGAGGGTCCCAAATACAGAAGGAAATGGACCATGCTTATTCTTGCGTGAAAAACATGAAGCAGCTATGGAACTCCTCAAGGAAGGTTCTTAAGAGGCACACGCAGGTGCCATTACCAAGGAGACCAAGAAGCATCACAGATAACAGCAAGTGACAAGATGGTCGGCTGACACCTTCCCATCCCCCACAAACCAAGAGCCCCATGCATCGGGTTGGCGGTGCAGGGAAAGTGCTCTCCATCCCCACAAGGGTTCCCTCTTCCCCTTCTCCAGAAACAGGAGTGATGGCTGCACTGTTGGCCACTTCACAAAAGCCTGATAAGCCTGTAATGCACTGGAACCACAGTATGGCTAATTCTGTATCACCAACTGCTGCGTGTTGAGTCTTAACATGTATCTGCAGCTCTAGTTGGGAACACACTCCCTGAGCGCATGACCTCAGAGGAAAAAAGATACAGAAATCACCTTAATAAGGGAGCTGTGTGAAGCATGGACTTCATTGTTTTCCAGTGCTCAAGTCACTGGAGTCCTTATCTATACTCCCTTCAAAGACCCTGGGGTCACTCGCTGGGCTCCTGCCACTAAGTGGATGATTCATGAGCATTGATGAGCATCAGGAGGATCTACTGGAACATGTCCAGTGATCTCAGTGGGATGCACACTGCGTTGGAGGGAAGTCAGGAGATAAATAAGCAGATAGATTTCCAAATAATCACAATCATTTTGAAGTCCTTAGCATTGAATTCTTCTTGTCGTTACTCTTTCTTTCACCTACCAGTGCCCCCAAAATGTTACATATGTGAGGACCAAGATTTTTGTAGGTCTCATAGGTGGTTGTTCATCTCCAGTACTCAGTATATAGTAAGTGCTCAATAAATATCTTTTTTAACAAATAAAATGAATAATATATGTGCTACAGAGAAACTACAGAATCTTAAGAGTTTTTAAAGAGGCTCTGTACTACCTTCTGGGTTCCCCTCTGCTCCCCACCCTGTGGTCATAATCCCTGCTGGCTTTGGGTAGATGGTTCCACATGCATGAATTAGTTTGCCTCCATCCAAATACTTCTTTAGAAAAGACTTCCCTCATTAGGCAGGGTCTGATTTCAATACAGGAACCCTGGCAAAATGCTCCACGTATTCTGTTCCTGTATGTTTGGCATCACTTAGGCAAATCCACTTTCCAGGGACCTTATATGCAGAGCGGCACAGCTCACTGGCCTGGACAGAAAGCCAACTGACAAGGTAAGCCCTAAAGGCAGGATTGCCTTGCACTCAGAGCCTCCCTAATGTTTCCTGACAATGGCCAACTGGGCAAGTGCAGTCCTTTCTCCCTAGAAACACAATACTGCTTTCTGTACCAACAAGTATTAATTCAAATCCCTAGTGGGCAGTCCAGGATATGAAAATTACAGTAATCTAATCTTGTAGAGGAAAAAGTATGAATCATCATTACACATCTGACAGAGAGTAAAGTGATTAATGCCAGGCTGGATAGAGGTTAGGGTCCCCAGCGATGGCTCCCGTGAGCTACAAACCAAGCAGTGTGACCTGCCAGGCAACAGCCGAGAAGCAAAATTCTGGCTTCCGTTCCAGGGGAGGAGAAGCAAGGAGCAACACTGGGTTCTCAGGACCACACTTGAAAGCCTTCTGATCCTCAGGAAAATTCCACAGTGGAGGGACTGAAAGGATGGGAATGTGAGTCTCCAAATTTCAGTTCTACTCAGACTCTGGGATAAAAGCTCAGGCTTGAAGCCCGGCCAGTAGGAACTGTACAGTTTTTGGAGTCATGGCATCTTAGAGAATGACCCAGAAACCCCAATGCTCTGTAGGAGAAACTAATATGTAGAAGACAAGTGAGATGAGGGATAGCTGCCCCTTAAGAGTGAGCTGGTAACCACACCCAGAAACACACAGTGCTGAAGGAAGCTTGACCCTCGCTGAAACCTTCAGAAACAGCAGTGCTCCCTGCCTCTAGACTCCAAGAAACCTCAGCACCAGCGCCCTGAGAAAGCTGGTCAGCTCGCCAGCTGCCCGAGCCATCACGCCACTATTTTTTTTTTGCACAGCTGTATTCAATTTTCTGTCCTTGGGGTTTTAAAAGGAACATTTATTCCAGGGCCAGGATTCTCAAGTTTTATGGTTATACAACTCCCTCCCAGGGCCAAAGAATGTTTGAAAAGTTTTTTGCCCAGCAAAGAGAATTAGTAAACGGATCCAAATGAAAGTGAAATAAAAAATTAAGACTTGTTTGATTTTATATTCAATCTCTTACTTTGTTGAACTGTACCTTTTGTTTGCCCTTCACAGATTTTCCACCTATTTTTCATGCAAATGCAGGCAGGGGTGTATCATGCGCATGCGTGTGTGTGCCTGAGGGTGTGTAGGAAAAGGGCACAGGTAAAGCACATGGGAGTGCAAAGGTACAGTTAGTGTCTTCCATGGTTTCTGTTTCCTGTTCTGCTGTAAAATTTATATTAAATTAAGCCTGCAGATTAAACTGGACTCAGCTGATCACCGACTCTCCATGTGCCCATCCACTAGCTTGTTTTTCCAATTCAGAAAGTTAGGTACCTTTGCTTTTTGTCACAGGAGACGGCAGAAAAAAAATGCATACTTTTATTTACACTCTTAATGACATTTTCATTAAACTGCTTTATACTAACTTCATTAGCAACTCCTAAAAGTCACTGCCAGGAAAGAAAACCCAGAGACAACAGAAGGAGCCCATGAAACGCTCACCAACTAGTCTTGGAAAAGCAGCCAAAAGGAGCTAGTTTAGAAAATCCATGAGCGCCTTACCTGCCCTTTTCTGTTCTTCTTTCTTCATGTCATCAATTCCTGCATCTCAGCCATGCACCCCAAGGCCATCTACCCAGCTCCCAGACATCCCCTTTGTCAGCTCCCTGCCTGCCTGTGCACACACATGTATCTCACTGGACAGACAAAACAATGCTCAGGCTGGGGCCTGAGGTTTGCGACACAGTGCACAGTACACGCCACCCACATGTGTGGCCTGGCACCCACCCAAGACAAATAAGATGTTTTTGAGCAACAAAGCAACTTGCACAGATCCACCCCAAGCAGGAACAAAATGGAACCCAAGCTTCTCACTACAGATCCACAGTGCTGCCGTGGGTAGCACCTGCTTTCTGGGGTCAGATTCTCTGAGGCCGCAGGAAGAGGCAGACTGACCTGGCCCGACTCTGCTCATGATGAGCCCTGCTGCTGGCCACTCTCGAGCGGCCATAAGTCCCAAGCACAGCAGAACAAACTCGTTCTCTCCACAACCACTTTCTTCTGCTTTTTTACAATCAAGGAATCAAAAGTGCCCTTTAGCACCCTGGCCTGGAGCAAAGATAACAGGTTGAAATTCACAGGGTACCTCCCAGATAATCACTCTAAAACCTTCCAGGAATTGGAAGTTGCTTAGAGCTAGTGTAAACCCTAATCCTACGGTGTGGGACAGTTGAACAAAAAGCAAGGTTCTAAAATCAGGTCTCCTCTGTAGCCAATGATCAAAAATAGCCTAGCCTGATTTTGAGCATACACACTACTAACACTATGCTTTTCATAATAATTTTTCTGACCTTTTGGGATCTGTGCTGTAGAACACATTAAGTTGCTTCTTTCAGGATACTTCTAAAGAATACTGAAAAGCTCTTTTAAAAACCTCAATATAGGATTGGCCAAATAGCTCAGTGGATTAAAGTACCTGCAAGCAGGCGCAGGGGTAGGGGGTTCAATCCCCAGGCCTGCTGTGCCGGCCCCCGAGGGTGTGCTGAGCCGGCAACTGAGACTGGGCATGGTGGCACATGCCTGTAATCCCAGCTCTTGGGAGGTTGTAAACAGGCAGATCACTAGGAGTCCGATCTAGTAGTGAGATCCTGAGCACCCTATAGTTCCTTCCCTAAAAAAAAAATACAAAAATAAACAAACAAAAAACCTTAATACAGCTCTGGGGAGGCTGAAAACAGGAGGATCACTACCAGTCCAAGCTGCGTAGTAAGACCCTATACCAAATACATTTTAAAAAGAAAAACCTAAAAATAAAAAATAAAAACCTCAAAACATACCATCTACATATACAACAAAACATAACCAAACAGTGACATCAAATATTTAAACAAATATGGATACACACGCATGCACACACACAAGACAATTCACTCAAGTTTAGAGAAATAAGGTATTCTCAAATTTCATACCCAAACAGCCAGAAAACAGTGGACTTTAAAAAAAAGTTTTATGATAAATCATCTTTATTCTATATAATGGAAATTTCAGCTAGCTGCACTCAGCTATGACTACAGATGTGACTCACCAAAACGTGTATGCACATTTACATACACATATCTTGTAAAAGAAAAAATAAACACTACTTAGATTCACCCCAAATGAGCAGTCTTTGGTCACATGCTCAAACCGCAACCTCTACTGAAAACACAGTAGAAAACAGGCTTTATAACTCGGGGAGCCATCCATGCCCAAGCCTGTCTTCACAGAAGGGAAAGACTGGGCTGCTACTTGAAAACACATGTATCTTGGAAAGCTGTTTTCTCATCTAAATTAGCAAAGAAACCAGCAAAAAGAACTCACAAAGGTAAATGATAAGAACTAGGGCCAATTTACCTGAGGTGTGTGTGTTTGCGTGCGTGCGTTTCTGCCTCCACTTCTCTCAGGACCTTCTAGTGTCTCAGTGGTCCAAACAGCGTTCCACTAACGTCTTAGGAGCAACACAAGACCAAGTTATGTGTAGTCAGGTCTTTGCTTGTTAAATGCTTTTGTTACATTTGAAACCAAAGCATGGCTTTTCTCTTTATTCTGATTTCAACCGAAAGTCTTTTAGACCGTCCTACTTAAAATATGAAAAGCACATTGATCAAATCCTTCTTTCAGTTTTCTCCAAATCAAAATAACAACAGAGCTGGGCTGGGGTTCAGTAATAGACCATGTACTTAGCATGTGCAAAACCCTGGGCTCACCACCAGCACAAAACAAAAACTGTCAGAAAACAAAGCTCAGAATACACAGTTCCTGGGACCCTGGTCAAGTAAAACCTGCATGCAGGCCCTGCCCTGGGACTACAGTTAGCAGCAGCCTCCCGCAGGCAGGCTCATCTCAGAGCACTGGCCCCGAGAAAAGGTGAAAAAGCCAATGGCACTCATGTGGAGTGTCTCCCCAGCACAGAAAACAATTCTAATCCCAGTGTAGAGTTTCATGAGAGTCTGATTGCAGCAAAATTCATAGAAACAGTTGCCTAACCCTCTCCAATTTTGTACGCCATGTTCCCTCTTTGGCCCTCTCTGATCAGCTAAACTACTCTTGTGAGGTACTGGGTAACTTCTATTTTGGTGAAAGCAGCCCATGGATGCTTCTGCCCTCCTCCTGGAGAACTCGCCAGAGGGCCTACTACTATGGAAGCCCCCCTCCTTCATTCTCCTCATCCTGAGCCACATTAACATGCACACACACACACACACACACACACACACGCACAAAATTTTGTGGTTCTGCACCCTGTCTTCTCAGTCTTCCTAGCATCTACATTTATCTCCAGACCACTCTCTTTGGAGTCTTAGGCTTCCTTTCAAGCATCTGCCTAGTATCTGTTTGGAATATTTTAGAGGACTTAAAACTTAACAGAATCTTACTTCTCAAAGCTGGTCCTCTTCATAAAATAAACCAAAAACAAACACTCCTGTCTGTCTTTTCTCACCCAGGGTCAAAGTTAAGGAGTCATTCTTAATTCTTCCCTAGTTCTTATTTCTCATATCTCATCTATCACCAAGTTCTGACAGTTCAAGTTCCAAAAACTATTTTTTTAATATATACAATAGCTTTATGGAAGTACAATTCATATAGCATTCAATCTGTAAAGTATGTAATTCAATCATACAGTGTAAAGTATGTAATTCAGTCATTCTTGGTATGTGTGACCACTATCCAATCAATTTTAGACCTTTTTCATCACACCCCAAAGAAACCACAAACCAATTAGCAGCTACTCCTAATTTCCCGCTAGACACTCCCAATTGTAGCCAAGCACTAATCTACCTTCTGTCTCTATAGATTTGTCTGTTCTGGAAAGTTTTGCCTTTTTTTGGTTTCCTTTTTCCTTTTTAGTTCTGAGGATGGAACCCAGGGACTCATGTATACTAGACAAGTACTCTCCCAGTAGGCTCCAGCACCTGCCAGGAGAGTTCACATAAATGGAATCGCACACTATGTTCTTTTGTGTCTGGCTTCCTTTATGTAAAATGCTTTCAAAGTTAATCCACATTATACCATGTATTAGTATTCCATTCCTTTCATAGCCAAATAATATTTTGCCATATGAATATACCATATCTTATTTGTTCATTCCCTAGATGACAGACATTTGGGCTACTTCCATTCTTTAGGTATTATAAATGGTGCTGCTATAAACATTAGTGTGCTTGTGTAGACATGTTTTTATCTTTCGTGAACATACACCTGGGGATTTACACACTGAGTTGTAAGAAGAAGTGAGCCTAAGCTTATCTGTTTGAGAAACTGCCATGCTGATTTGCAAAGCAAGTGTGTTGGGAACACTGCATTCCCACCAGCAGTATGTAAGAGTTCCAATTTACCCACAGTCTCGCCAACATGTTCTGACCTCTTTCACAGAGGGTAGAAAGTGATATCTTGTGTTGTGGTTTGCACTTCCCTGATTTCTACTGATGTTGAAACTCTTCTCATGTGCTTGATGGCCATTAGTGTGTCTTCTCTGAAGAAACATTTATTCAAATCTTTTGCCTATTTTAGACTGGGTTGCCTTCTTATTGCTGAGTCATGAGAAGTCTTCATATGTTCTGCAGATGCTGTCTTATCCTGTGTGATTTTAAACACTTCTGTGGGCTGTCCTTTTGCTTTCTTGATACTTGCTTTCTATGAAGGAAAGTTTTTAATTTTTTTGAAGTTCAATTTCTTTTTTCACTTGTTTGGGGTGATACAGCAAAAAAAACCCCTCACACTGAAGGTGACTGAATTTACATCTGCATTTTCTTCTAATAGTTTTAAAGTTGTAGGTCTTACATTTAAGACTTTGATCAATATATTTTGAGTTAGTATTTGTACATAATTTGAGGTAAAAATCCAACTTCATTCTTGTGCATACAAATATTCTTTGGTCCACATACAAGTCATTGAAGATTTATTCTTTCCCCATTGAATTATTTTGGTACATATGTCCAAAATCAATTCATCAAAAAGGTGCGGGATTTAAGACTCTGTATTCTATTCTATATGTATATGGCTTCACCCATATGCCAGTATCATACTTTCTTAATTACTATAATTGTGTAGTAAGTTTGAAGTCAGCAAGTTGAATCTTCCTAGTTTGTTCTTTTTGAAGACTGTTATGCCTATTTGGGATACTCTGACTTTTCACATTAATTTTAGGATCAGTTTGTAAACTCCTGCAAAGAATCCATTTGAAATTTTGAAAGAGACTGTATTAAGTCCGGTATCAATTTTACAGTTTTTAGGAATGCTTGTTGTGTACTTCTTTGGTTAATATTTTCCTAAACATTTTACTAGTCTTGATGTTACTATGAAATGGATTATTTTCTTAGTTTATTGTAATTATTCATTGCACGTGTATAGAAATACAATTGACTTTTGTATATCAATACATCTTATATTCTGCAACCTTGGTGAGGTTCTTTATTAGTTCTAGTAGTTCAGTAGATTCCTAAGGATATAATACTACCTGTAAACAGAGAGAGTTATCTTTGTCCTTTCTGGTCTTAAAGCCTCTAATTTTGTTTTCTTGCACAACTGCCCTGGTTAGAAGCTCTAGCACAATACTATATTAATTTTCTAATTCCATTTGTTTTGAGGAAGACTTTGGGGGTTTTTTAGAGCGAGAGAACCAGTAGGATGGCGAGCTAGCTAAATAGATGATACACATGAGAGGTGACTTATCAGGTGTGCTGGCTCTCATAGTTGTGGTTAAGTCCTATAATATGACATTTGTAAGTTGAAGACCCAGGGATGCCCATGTAAAGGTCAGTCCAAACT